TCCCTAGGGACAGTTGGCAATGGAAATGGCAATGACAAAGACTTTTAATTATTTTTTGGTGCAGTATAAATGTTCCTCTAATAGTTCCATCAAATTGTTACAGTAGACAGTTACATCTTTTAATTAATAGGTTATAATTCTAATTCTACTTCCACCCCCCACCCCCATCTTTGAAAAACAGTTTTACCAGGAGACATTTTTGACTGTCCTCCTGAAGGGGGGAGGGCGCTGTTGCTTCTAGTGGGTGAGGCCAGGGGTACTGGGAAGCACCCTGCGGTGTCCTGGGCAGCCTCCCCCAAGAAGTGACCGAGCCCCAGAAATCCAGAGTGAGGGGTTATCACCTCTCATTGAGGTCACCTCCCTGCCCCTCAGTTTTCCTTTCTCTACAGTAGGGTTGGCCTGCGGGCCAAGCCAGAGAGTCAGTTGTTTCTGAACAACTTAACATAAGCCTTTCTGCCTGCTCCCAGCATACACCTGGAGGAATTCCTCCCTCTTAGCCTGGAGACCTTGCCCAATAGCTCACACCACCGTGCTCTCTGGGAACCGTGCAGTAGCCAGCAGTGTGCAGAGGGGTGCCGTTCTCTCTGCTGTGAACTATCAGGGTCCTCCCGACACCCTGCCCCCTCCTCTCATTGCTCTCCTGCTGGACGTGGTAATGAAGTCCTATCGAAACCCAACCAGGCCCAGTGCTGTGCAGGCCCTCTGACGCATAGGGACCCAGAGACCAAAGTGGAGTTTCCAAGTCCCTGCCAGCATTGTCAGGCAAATGCTGGACTCTTAACCGCAAGGTCCTTGGTTCAAACCCGTTCACCGCCCCAAGAGAGAAAGTTGAGGCTGTCTGTTTCTGTAAGGACTTACAGCCTTGGAGAGCCTCTACAGCAGCACTTCTCAACATGTGGGTCGTGACCCCTTTCACAAGTCGCCTAAGACCATAGGAAAACACATAAATATTTCACAATATATAATTACATATTGTGTTTGTGATTAATCACTATGCCTTATTATGTTCAATTTGTAACAATGAAAATGTATCCTGCATATCAGATATTTATATTATAACAGTAGCAAAATGACAGTGATGAAGTAGCAATGAAAATAATTTTCTGGTTGTGGGGGTCACCACCACGTGAGGACCTGTATGAAAGGGTCGCGGCATGAGGAAGGTTGAGAACCCCTGCTCTACAGGGTCACCCTGAAAGATGAGGCTTTCTGCTCCTGCGTAACGAGTTCTAGGCTCGGGCACGCACAGGGCCAGTGCCACCCTGCCTCGTTCCGTCGTAGGGTCTCGGGATTTGGAATTGACTCGCTGGCAGCGGGTTTGGCTTCAGAACCTTTACGGAAATAGACACCACTGTGTCTTTTGCCTATGGTGTGTTTGAACTGCCGGCATGCCGGTTTGCAGCCGAGCGCTTAACCAGTGTGCCACCAGACTCTAGTATGTAAGTTAGAACCGATTTGAGGGTGGCAGGAAATACAGCCGGCCAGGAAACACCCAGGAGGCTCTGTGCAGAGGTGAGCTGTCACTCGGCTCAGCGAGGGACCCCTTCCTGCTGGAGGCAGGAACGTCCCTGAAAAGCGAGTGGGGTCTGCAGTTCAAGTGGAAGAAGAGGCCCCAGGGCTTGGGGGGGCGGTGTGGGAGTGACACCTGTCTTGTGCTCCTGTCCCCGCCCAGTCCCTTCGGCAGGTGAGGCTGAACGAGATCCTGCTGGATTACTCCCGAGACGCGGCCCTCGTTGTCATGTGAGTTGACCCTGCTGGAGGGGGTGCCAGCCCTGAAAGGGCTCAGGAGCGGGACACTGCCTGACGAGCGCAGCCCCCACGTGCCAGTAAGCAAAGCCCAGTGGTTCTAAGTATGTGGCTGGACCTGCCCAATAGAGCCCACCCTTCCCCTGAGTGGCATCAGGTCAGACATCAAAGGGCTACCGATCCTGAGCAATGCTTTTCCCTTGTGTGCTGCCTCCAGACCCAGCTTGGCCAGGGGATCCCGACCTGTTCCCAAAGGAGGGTCATGCCAGGTTGTTCGGTTAGGACCCACTCCGCCTCTGGCTCTTGGCTGCCCCAGCAGGTGCCGGCGCCAAGGCCAAGTCAGGGCCAGGTTCTGTCCTGGGCCCTGGGGCTTCAGCCTCTGTGAGTGCTGGCCAGACCCGGGTCGAGGAGGGTGAGCTCATAGAGGGTCTCAGGCGGCTCTGCTCGCCTCTCTGTGAGGCCACGAGGGGGACATGGGCAAGGAAGCATGCAGACCTCCTGCTGGGCGGGACTGCGGGAGAGGCCCAGCTCAGGGGGCAGTGGTAGCTACAAACCACCTCATAATCCTCTGGGATGGTGGATGGCCGGGAGTCCTGCAGAACCTGTCTTTCCATACCGGAAGAGCAGGGCCTCTTACATCATTTATGGGGCCTATACCGAGTGAACACGTGAGGCCCTTTGATACAAAGCAGGAAGGAAGACGGGCTTTCTACTCCCATAAGCAGTTAGTCTTGGAAACTCACGGGGCAGTTCTACCCTGTCCTAGAGGGCTGCTGAATCGGCTTTGACTCGCTGGCAGTGAGTGAGTGTGTTACAGACTCATGGGAAGCCGGTAGGACAGAGAAGGAGAAGAACAGCCCCTGTGGTCAGAGCCAACTCAGCGGCAGTGAGCTTTGCTGTTTTGTTGTCCAAAACCATGGAGAGTTTCAGGATGACAGTGGGAGGACATCGAGGCAAGAGCGGGGCCCCTGTGTAAACCTCAGCTCCTCACACCCTCACCCCAGAGGTGCAGGGGGGCACCCAGTCTCCGTCTCCGACTGCGCTGTTTTCTGAGCATTCCTGTCCCTGATTCTAGCAGGACTAGTTACACGGAGTTATTTAGAAGAGTTTTCCGCTCTGACACACTCAGGCTCTGTTTTCCTGCCATTCTGAACAGTCTGGGGCTCAGCCAGGTTGTGGGTAGCTGCCCTTGCATCAGCCCCTGACCCATGGGGACCCCACAGATGAAGGGGAGAACTTCCCCAAGGGTGGGGGCTCATAGAGCTGCAAACCACAGGTCAGCGGTTCGAACCCACCAGCCGCTTCCTGGGAGAAAGACGAGGCGGTCTGCCCCTGCCGAGGTTTCTAGTCGAGCCAGAGCCTACAGGCTCGCTGGCAGTGAGTTTGGTTTGGGTTTTGGACGTTGGCAGAACCAGAGCGCCAGGCGTTTTGTTTCCCAGGCCGCTGGGGAGGGCCCAACCCGTCAGCCTGTGCCCGCCAACTGCGTGCCACCTGCTCATGCCGCCCAGGCTCCACTCTGGGTCCTGGGATGAGGAATGTCACCATGGAGGCGGACACTCCTCTCTCTCCCCCTGGCTCTCAAAGAGAAAGTCAGTCCCCCACCCCTGCACCGTCCTCGGCGGAGCCAGCCAGAGCAGATAACTACACGTCCAGTCAGCGCACAGGGGCGCCTGCTCGCTGCCACCGCAGGGGCAGCTGCAGCTGTCAGGGCCTGGCTGCCTGGCGACGTCACAGGGAGGACCAGCAGCTGCACAGTCTGGAGACAGTCCCGGGGCTGCAGCAGTCGCTCTGGGGGGCACCTGCCTTCTTTGGGATTAGCAGGGGTGGGGGTAATGGGAAAAGGCAAGTTCGTCAACTCCTTCCACATCAGGGTCTGAGGGGGCACCCAGGTTCTGAGGAAGAAGCCACTCTCCCAGCTCTGGTGACAGGACACACCTCCACGGGCAGCATTTCTGGTTTCTAGTCCACGTGAGGCGTGTGGCCGGGGGCTGCCGCCCACTGGGAGCAGTTTATCTGCTGAGGGCTCCTTGTTCCAGCAGCCTGGCCAGCTGTGAGCCAGCCTATCACTGCCCCCACTCCCAGAGTCGGCTCCGGATCGGCATTTTGTTTTATTGATGGAGTGTGTGTGGCACTCGGCACTGGGCCTGGTTGGTGTTCAGAACTCTGTGAGGCGGTTCTTTTATCACCCCTTCCTCCCACTTTTAGGTCTCTGGGTTGGTGCAGGTGGCTTGTGGCCAACGCTGGTCAAAAGGCTGGCAGTGTGCACCCACTGAGGGGTGGCATGAGGTCCAGAAAACCCATGGCGCAGTTCTAGTCCTTCACATGTGGGGGCGCCATGGCTCAGAGTTCACACGACAGCAACGGGGTTGGTTTCTGCCCCGCTACCCCATTTTGAAAGGATCCCTGGTGGTGTAGTGGGTAGACATCAAAACCACCAACCACTCCATGGGGTAAAGAGGAGGCTTTCTGCTCCCATAAAGAGGGACAGTCTGGGAAACCCACAGGGGCGATTCTACCCTGTCCTGCAGGGCATGGACTTGGGGGCCCTCAGCGCGGGAGTGAGGCGAGGGCACTGAGCCTCAGAGGCATGAGTGTTTGCCCGGGGGTGGGGTGGGGGAGGGGTCTCTCAGATAGTGAGCAGGGGGGTTGTGCATCTCAGTTGGACTCAGGGCTCTCTGCTCTGTGGCTAAGAGCTGCAGCCGCCCACGGGCAGCCTTTTGTCCCAGGGCAGCGTTGTTTGGGGCTCACCCTGTGAGCAGAAGCTGAGTGAATCGCTGGCTGGCACTGGGCATGGTAGGCACCCTGTCCTGCCTGTTCCCTCGTGGCCTCTGAGTGCCCCACTCTGCGGCGGCCTGGAGACATGTGCTGTGTGGGGCAGAGCGGGCACACCAGGAAGTTTACATGCCTGCTTCCTTTCCCTCTGGGAAGCCACTGGGCAGAGACATCCTCCCCCCAATGACAAGAGCATCTGGCCGGGCCCCCCCCCCCCTTTCAGGAGGTAGAAGCTATCCTGTTTGGCTGCTTAGCAAAAGGTTGGGAATTCAAGCCCACCCAAAACCTGGCCACCTGCCCCTGAGAAACCCCGATGGAGTACAGTGCTCTCATTACACGGGGCCACCGGGAGTCAGGAGGTTCTGGAGAGTGGGCATGCTCACAAACACTGGGGGATGTGAGTTGAAGCCCAGCTGACTAGTGACCCCGTGTGTGTCACAATGTTCTGGGGGACACAGTTGGATCCATGCCAGGGCCAGTGATAGCCCTCTTGCCGCTGTAGGAGAGGGGGTGGACTTTGGGCTTGAGTGAACTGATGGCTGAGGGGCTGTGACATGGAGTGCCGCCCACGCCCCGCCCCGGTGCCCTGTGACACCAGCTGACAGCCTCCCGGGCATTACTGGAATTCTTGAGACAGTGGAAAGGCCGTGGCCTGAAATAGCCCTGAGAACAGGACTGAAGTAGGCCGTCTCAGTGTTTGCACAGAAACCTCACTGCCACCAGGTCAGCCCAGAGCAACCCCATGGCATAGTGGTTTTGCATCAGGCTGCTGGCCACAAGGTCAGCAGTTCAAAACCACCAGCCTCTCCAAGTGAGAAAGATGAAGTTTTCTACTTATGTAAATTTTGACAGTCTCGGAAACCCCAGGGGCAGTTCTACTCTGCCCCATGGGGCCGCTCTGAGTCTTGTTTGCATAGGATTGTGCAATTCAAATAATGGGGCTGAGGCCCAGCTACCGGCCAGACTGGAAGGGCAGGGGCAGGACAAAGATGCTCAGCTGGAGGCTGGGCCCCTACAGAGGGGTGTGCGTGCGTGCGTGCGTGCGTGCGTGCGTGCGTGCGTGCGTGTATAGACGCGAGGCTAGTGAGATTCAAGTGGCCCAATGAGGAGGGTCTACCCACTTAGCACATCTGCCCCGAGCCCAGCTGCCCTCAGCCAGGTTGCAGGCCCAGCACAGAGGGTGACCAGGGCAGACCTGGCCAGCTGTGCGTGAGAAGACATTCCAAATGAGAGACAGACCGCGCATGCATGTGGGAGGTGCTGTGCTAACGGGAGACAGCACCCACATACACATGGGGGGAGGTGCTCTGTAGAAAGATGGGAGAAACACACACACACACGGGGCGGGAGATGGGAGAGCTGGGTAACCTGATGGAGAGGGTGGTCAGAGAAGGAGGTGGCATTTGACCTGGCACCAGAATGCTGCCAAGGTGCAGAGCTGTGGCACTGCCTTCCAGGTGAGATGACCTGCAGCACTGCCTTCCAGGTGAGACGACCCCCACGTGCCAAGGCCCCAAGGCAGGAGAACATACCACGTTTTTACAAATCAGGCTGGAATTGCAGCCACTGGGCCTGGGCCCGTGTGAGGGGAAGCCGAGGGCAGGGGTATTGGCAGAGAGCAGACCGCAGGGCTGGGCCTGCAGACCGTGGCTTTGTTCGGAAATGCCTCCTGCCCGCAGCCCACTTTGAGCGAGGGTTTCTATGGGTTCGCTTAAAGGCCTTGTGTGGTGGCAAGTATACACCGCATCACAGAGCACCTGCCCCTATAGCCCTTTTTAAGTGTGCAGGCCCATGATGTGTTCATCGCCACTCTTGTCTGGCGCTCAACTGCCCATCACCCTTGCTGCCCACCACTAACCTTCAGAGCGCAGTGGGGAGGGGGCTGGGAGGGGCTGGGACCTGCTGGCAGAGCCCGGCTGCCGGGTGATCGATCTCTATCCATCTCTTCCTGCCTTGCAGAACCTTGCCCATCGGGAGGAAGGGGAAGTGTCCGAGCTCGCTGTACATGGCTTGGCTGGAGACCTTGTCCCAGGACCTCAGACCCCCCGTCATCCTGGTCAGAGGAAACCAGGAAAACGTGCTCACCTTTTACTGCCAGTAGCCGCAGGCTCGGCCCTCCATGCCCAAGGCCAAAGGATGTGGAAACAGAAACTGCCCCTCCACCCCCTGGACAGGACTCGCCCTCGGGGGCACTTGGAGGGTTGGCATTGGATGGTCCAAGTGAAGAAACAGGCAATTCCCAATTGATGGCCACACCGCATTTGCAGGAACCCCCCGAGCAGCGCAGTCCTTCTTAAAGTCTGCTGATCTTGACCGCAACTCCTCAGGACTGCAGTCTGGTTTGTGTGGCGTCGGGGTCAGCGTGCGGTGCCTTCCACGGACCTTCCCCACGTCACACCTCCTTCCCCCACCCGTCAGGAGACTGGGAGCCCAGCTGCAGAGGTTGTGGGGACAGGAGGACTGGGGACCCTGTGAGCTTCTGGGACCCTCTCCCACTCCTTGCTCTTCCCACCCTCACAGCACCCACCCCGCAGTTAGAAAAGCCATGCCCATGGAGAGTCAGAAGGCATACACACAGCAGAGACAAAATGCCACCGGGCAGTATCCACCCTTCCTCAGGGGATGCAGAGGCCCTGCGCGACATAAGCAGGTGCTCCAGGCTGAGCTGTGGGGGTGGCACCCAGAGGTGTCTAGGCAGAGGGGTCTAGAGCTCAGCTTCCACAGGTCCCACAGCCTTGAACAGGTCCCCCAGGCCTGCTCAGTGCACCCATGTCGCTAGTCTCCATGAGTCAGCACTGACTTGACATCACCTGATGCCAATGTGGGGAGCGGGGTTCCAATGGCATGTTGGGTTACACATTGGCCTGCTAACCCGCAAGTCAGTGGTTTGAAACCGCCAGTCACTCCTCGAGAGCAAGTTGAGGCTTTCTACTCCCGTGAAGAGTTACGGTCTTGGTAACCCAGGGGAGTCGTTCTTCCCTGTGCTGCAGGGTCACTAAGAGTTGGTATCAACTCACGGACGATGAGTTCAAAACATTGGGTGATGCACTCTGATATGTTCTTTCTTTCTTTCTTCTTCCTCCTCCTCCTTCTGTTGGCTGCGCTCCACTAGGGTCATGTCAGCACCCACTAACGGGTGGTGACCCACAACTTGAAGCGCAGTCTAGGTCTTCCCTTGTGTGTGTCTGCTGGGACTGAACGCCCCTACAACGCCAGCTACCAGAGCAGACGGTGCTCAGAATGAATGTTGTCCAAGGATCAGAAAACAACTCACTGCCATGCAGTCGAGGCCACTCACAGTCACCCGGCAGCACAGGGGAGAACCACCCCTGTGGGTGTCTGAGACTCGCTCTTTACGGAGCAGAAAGCCCGTCTCTCTCCCTCGGAGCAGCTGCTGCATTCTGACCTTGCAGTTAGCAGCCCCAACACAGAACCATTCCACCACCGGGGCTCCTGGCCAAGGCCGGTAGGTGACCGTCCCAGAAAGGTCACTGCCGCTCTAGACCCCCAAACAGTGTGGAGGTCAGTTGCTGGGTGACATGAAGGCCGGGCTGTCTTCCTGTGGTACTGGGGTGGCAGGAAGCCATACACCCTGCCTGGGTTTTGTGCGCCTCTAAGAGGTGGGGCTCCATTCCCAAGAGTGGGAGCCTTCATCAGCCTGGCACCAGCACCAAGAGGCTCTGGGCTGTTCTAAACCCCACGGCTCTTCCACTGCACTAGGCTGTGGAGGAGGGGAGACCCAGACACAGAAACTGGGAGGCTGGCCAAGGGTGCTGGGGCTCTGCTCCAGAGCTGTCCTCTGGACCCTGGTGCCACCCCAACACCTGATAATGGCTGGTCTCCACCAGGGGATGCCTGCCTTTCTAGTCCCACCTGGAGAGCAATCTGCCCAGCACGGAGGGAAGGAATCTGGGCACAGCTTGGGGTGTCCGAGTACTTGCTGCCCCTTCACACGTGTTTGCTGAAACGGCCCAGGAGGTGTGGGGTCTTCAGACCTCACCAAGACCCTGACCCAAGGGCACAGATGGTTTGGCTCCGGATTGGCAAAGACCTGACCCTTTGCACAATGTGGGGTGGGGTGTGTGTGGGGGGGGAACAGCGATTTCTCAAGCAATGAGAACCATTTTTATTTTTCCTAAAAAAAAAAAAGAAAGAAAGAAAACAACCTTGAGTGAACCCTGCGGCCCCCAAACAATGGAGTAAAAATATTTCCATGAGTCACAGAACATACTGGTTTGGGAACCCCGATTGCCAGTGCACAGGGCGCTCTGAAGAACAGGGCTGTGTTGTCCTTGGGCCTTGACACTTGCCCAGGGACGCTCGCCCCTGTGGCTCCCCTGGCAGCATTTCTATGGGACTGTTCTGGGAGCCACTGACCCTCTGAGGAACCAGTCCCCATGCCTGGCCCCCAGAGGCCCGGCCGTGGTTTCTATCTGTCCCTGAAACCAATGGTGGGACTTTGCACTGGGCCTCAGTCTGTGTAATGACAGAATTGGGCCAGAACATGTGTCACCGGCCAGCTGGCCGGCCAGTGAGTATGGTTTGGCCCCTGCAGGCTGCCCAAAGTTGTGGATGTCCTGTGGGGGGCAGGGGGAGGTGACACATTCGCCAGTCATCTCTCTTGCCCCCCACCCCTACTGTGTGAGTCCGGGTTGACTAGAGAAACAAATTCATAGATGCTTATATGTATATCAAAGAGTAATTGTGTATTAGAACACATCCCAGTCCAGTCCAGATCAAGTCCATCAGTCCGATATTAGCCCAGAAGTCCGATACCTTAAATTCCTCCTCAGGCTAGACTCTACCCCCTTCTCAAGTTGACAGATTATGTAACTGCCACATCCACCCATCACGTCCTACCCCCTGCCGTGTGAGCCCCTAGTCCCTCTAGTCTTTCAAAGGCTCTGCTCAGCCATTGACCTACTGTGCCATGGAGTGGAGTGGGGAGGCCGGGGGGTATAATCTCCCTGCCTTGGGACTGTGACATTCTGCTCATGAAGTGGGGGCCAGGGCCGGGGAGGCAGGCAGGTAGACATCCATGAGACGCGTGAGACCAGAACTCAGGGCTGCTTCCCAAGGCGCACACAGACACATTGCTGTGCTGTTTAGAGCTATGGATCTGCCTTTTCCTCCTCTGGCAGGTTATGCCTTACACAGGCTCTGGCTTTGGCAGGGTCCCCTGAGTCACCCCGAAGCCCTATCTAGCTCTGTGCATGGAAGTCCAGGACACAGAGGGACATGTCCACAAGACATGCCCAGCCCCTGTGGCAGTCATCTGACACTCCTGGTCACCCAGCTGCGCCCTTGGCTTCTCCTCTCCCTGGAATGAACCTCCTCCCTCAGTTCCTGCCCAGACTGGCTGTGGCTTTGAAGTTATAGCACAATGCGGCCCCTCTCTTGCTCCAGTGCCCTGGGGATGTGGTGGGTCCGGCAGCAGAGTCCAGATGGCACGTGGAGAGAGAGGAGGGCGTATCACAGGCTGACAGCACCAGCTCACTGACTGCTCGGGAGAAGAACACGTGGCTGGGAGGGCCAGCCGAGGTTTCACTGTGCATAGGTGTCTGAATCCATGCTGCCCCTTCAAAAGCATTTGCTGAAATGGGCCCGAGTGAGCCCAGGCGCCATCAGTCAGTCCCCACCTGAAAGGAAGCTCCATCCAGGGCAGAAAACACAGCACCAGCACTGCTTCCTGAGAGGCCGCCAGAACAATTCAGGCTCTAAAAATACCACATGGGCAGAGCTGGCTGGCTCTTAGATCCAGAACTGCCCCGCGTAATTCTCCCACCTCCCACATGAGATGCTGACCTAAAACCTGAGATGGGATTCAACGAAGGGGCCCGGCACACGGGAGCTGGAGGAATTGTCCGTGGAGAGAAACCGGTTTCCACCAGGCCTGGGAAGAGAGGAAGGGCCACGCGGACCGAAGTGGGGCTGGGGCTGGGACAAGGCCTTCCAGGCACAGGGCCGGCTTGAGCAAGGACGGCCAGAGTGTGTCGGGACAGGAAGGAAACGAGCTTGAGCCCGTGAGATGTGTACGTGGGGAAGTGAGACTGGGCGTTGGGAGGGGAAACCCCAAGCACCGGCTGAGGACTCAGTGCATTCCTGAACCCACCCAGCGGGGCTTCCGAGAAAAGGCCAGGTGATCCGCCGGATACAGGTCTCAGCCACACACGACAGCAGCAGCCAGGCAGGGGATGGCTGCTCTCAGGAGGTGGCCGTGATTCAGAATTGATTCGAGGACAGTGGATCTTGCCTTTATTTCAGGGGGAGCGGGCAACATGGAAGGTAAGGTTAGGAAATTTGGTTGGACAGGAAACCGGAGGTGGCTGGAGAGACAGGTGGGGAGCCTGTGGAGGGGAGCTGTGCTGGCCCCAAAGGCCAGTGACCAGGCTCAGGCCTCAGATCAGCAGAGGACGTGGAAATGAGGAACGACGCCCCTAAGGCTCGTTTGCTGACCTGCCGACTCTTCCGTCTGTGTGTTTCCATTGCTTGAGCCCGCTCTTTGCCCCTTTCGTTTCCCCGCCCAGAGCCACCAGATTCAAAGTGGTGGGCTGCTGCCCTACCTGCAGGAAGTCCCCAAGCTGTCCACCCCACTAGTCAGCGTGTGCAGTTGTGATTGGACAAGAAAAGTCACCCCACCCACTCGTGCTTTGTTGCTTTCTACACCGGGGTTTGCATAGCGCTTGGACCCAGAGACCCTGCGTGGCGGCGCTTGTGAACTCCCGGTTGCCGGCTTTTAATAAAGCTTCTGATTCGACCAGTTCAGTGCGGTCCTGATGGAGTTGGAAACCGGGGACAACTGGAATTGAGGGGGGCAGTGTATGGAGAATGGAACCTCCCAGAACTGGGAATGGCCTGCATGCACAGATGGGAAGACGGGGACTCGGCGGTTGAGCCTGGCCAGCGTATGCGTCATGGAGAAATGATGGGAAGTCTTGTTACAGGAGGAAAGGATTTGCTCCCTTTGGTTTGGGACACTTTAAACGAGGACCTCAGCATGGTCAGAATGAGGTCCTGGAGCCTGGGAGGGAGTGTCCCTGTTAGCGCTGTTAGCTCCCTGAAAACAGTGACTATCAATAGCTCAGGAGTCACACTGAAGGTCCGGGACCAGAGCCAGAGCTTGGGTGAGCGCCCAAGAGAGGGAGCCTGAAAACGCCCCTGATGAGGAAGCGTGGAGGGAGCCAGAGAACCATGACAGCCTGCATCCAGTCCTTTCCAACTCCCCCGGACCCTCTCCAGGGTTTCCGAGCTCTGAGCCTGTGGGTGGCAGACAACCTCATCTCCCCCACCCCGCTGGTGCGGCCAGTAGGGTTGATCTG